TGTGTAACTTTTTATAACTGTTTATTGTTGTTGCTGTTGTCCATTGTTGTCAACATTTTTTTGTTGAAATCAAGTCTCTCTTGTAAATGAGTAGGCTCGATGGGATTTACCAGTCTAAATAAAGGTTGACTGAAAATGGAGGAGTTCAAGTAGCTTGGGTATTTATTTATGAGTGAGGGAAGAATGGACTGTGAGATTGACAGACAGATTGGTGCAGCTACTGCAGTATTGCTGACTCTGTACCGGACCATTGTGGTGAAGAGGGTGCTGTAAGGCAAAGCTCTCTGTTTACCGGTTTACTCCATTTGAAGACCCCAACAGACCACCCAGCACCAGACTCACCTCACCACTGGACAAATAGCATTTTAGCGTGACCTCAGTTGAAGTAAGGAGTACTTTCAGGAGGATTAATCCGCACAATGCAACCGGACCAGACAACATCCTTGGAAAAGTGTTGAAAGAATGTGCCAATCAGCTCTGCGAGGTGCTGGCAGACATCTTTAACACTTCACTTACCCTGGAGACAGTTCCCACCTGCCTGAAGACTGCCACCATCATCCCAGTCCCAAAAAGCTCTACAGTGACTGGTCTGAATGAATATCAACCAGTGGCCCTCACCCCGATAATAATAATAATAATAATAATAATCATTATTTAAAAAGCGCCTTTCATGACACCCAAGGACACTTTACATTAAGAACAAAGATCAACAGGAATAAAGAATATAAAATATATAAAGAATATAAAATACATACAGAATATAAAATGCGTAAAGAATATAAAATACATAAAGAATATAAAATACATACAGCAAAGTTAAGGATAAGCGAGTCTAAAGAGATGTGTTTTCAGAGCAGTCTTGAATATAGAAAGAGAGGTGGTGTTTCTTAAGTCAGGGGGTAGAGAGTTCCAGAGATGAGGGGCAGAGCAGGTGAAGGCCCTGCTCCCCATGGTGGAGAGGCGGGCAGAGGGTACATGGAGGTGTAGTGAAGAGGAGGATCTGAGAGAGCGAGAGGGGATGGAGATGTGTAGGAGGTCAGATAGGTACGGAGGGGAAAGGTTGTGGATAGCTTTGAAAGTGAGAAGAAGAATTTTGAAGACTATGCGTGATTTAACCGGGAGCCAGTGGAGCTGCTGCAGGACAGGAGTGATGTGGTTATAGGAGGAGGTTTGAGTTATGACACGGGCAGCTGAGTTCTGGACCAATTGTAGCTTCTGGAGAGATTTGTTGGGGAGGCCATAAAGAAGGGAGTTGCAGTAGTCAATCCGAGAAGTCACAAGACTGTGAACAAGGATGGCTGTGGAGCGGGGTGTGAGAGAAGGGCGAAGACGGTTAATATTTCGGAGATGGCAATAGGCAGACCGAGTGACGTTGTTGATGTGTGAAGTGAAGGAGAGAGTGGTGTCGAGGATGACACCAAGACTCTTGACCTGAGGCGAGGGGGATAGCAGGGAGTTGTTAAGGGGGATGAGAAGATTTTCTGATCTTGAAAGAGAGTTTTTGGTACCGACAAGAATAATTTCTGTTTTGTTACTGTTCAGTTGTAGGAAGTTGTTAGAAAACCAGTGATTTAGCTCATTGAGACAGTCGATGAGGATGGAGGGTGGGTGGGTGGAGTTTGGTTTTGTTGATAGGTAGAGCTGTGTGTCATCAGCATAACAGTGAAAATGGACACCAAATTTACGGAAGATGTGACCTAGAGGAAGGAGGTAAATGATGAAGAGGAGGGGTCCGAGGACAGAGCCTTGGGGGACACCCGTGGAGACGGGGGAAGAGTGGGAACGAAAGGATTTGAGCTGAATGAATTGAGTGCGGTCAGAGAGATATGATTTGAACCAGTCTAACGGAGTACCCGAGATGCCAATGGCGGTTAGTCTGTTAAGGAGGATAGAATGACAGATGGTGTCGAAGGCAGAACTTAGATCCAGTAAAATAGTACGATAGTCGCTAAATGCTTCGAAAAATTGGTCATCACTCACATCAAAACAACCATCAACATCATCGAGGACCCTCATCAGCACGCGTACCACGAGAACCGATCAACAGAGGATGCCATCTCCTCTGTGGTCCACACTGTACTCAACCACCTGGAGCAGAAAGGCTCTTACGTCCGTATGCTCTTTGTGGACTTCACATCTGCCTTCAACACCATGATCCCCTAAACCCTGATGGACAAACTATTCACACTAGGACTAAGCCCCTTCATTTGCAACTGGGTACTAGACTTTTTAACAAATAGACCACAGTTAGTGAGGATCCACAACTTGTCCTCCTCCACCATAACCCTCACTGCTGGCTCTCCTCAGGGATGTGTGTTGAGCCCCCTCCTGTTTACTCTGCTCACGTATGATTGTGCAGCTACCCATCCAGGCTGTCACATTGTAAAGTTTGCAGATGATACAGCGGTGGTGGGATGCATCACAAACAATGTTGAGTCCAGCTACAGGCAAGAGGTGGAACACCTGGAGAGCTGGTGCAAAGAATAACCTTCACATCAATGTGAAGACAACAAAGGAGATGATTGTGGACTTCAGAAGGAACAAAAACACCTACACCCCCCTGAACATAAGAGGATCTGCAGTGGAAGTGGTCTCCAGCTACAAGTACTTGGGTGTACACATGAATGACAACCTCAGCTGGAGCAACAACACCACCAGCCTGATCAAGAAAGCTCATCAGAGCCTACTTCCTCAGACGGCTGAGACGAGCTGGTCTGGGAAGCTCAGTCCTCACCTCCTTCTACAGGTGTGCAGTGGAGAGCATCCTGTGCTCGAGCATCAACGTGTGGCATGGAGGCTGCACAGCTGCAGAAAGAAAAGCTTTGCAGAGAGTGGTGAAGGCTGCACAGAAGATGTTGGAGTCAGTCTCCCCACCATCACAGACATCTACACCTCCAGATGTAAGAAGAGAGCCACCTGCATCATGAAGGACCTCACTCACCCAGCACACACACTTTTTGCCCCACTCCCCTCAGGAAGGAGGTTGAGGAGCATTAAGTGTAGAACCACTAGACTGAGGAACAGCTTCTACCCTGAGGCTGTTAGACTCATGAATCTCTAACCAGAATAATCACTGTGAAAAATCACATCATGTTGCTGCTGATCTGTTTCAATGTTGTTGCTAATCTGTTTCATGTTGCTGCTGATCTGTTTCATGTTGCTGCTGATCTATTTCATGTTGGTGTGTTCATGCGTGCTCATCTGCTTACACAGACTCATGTTCGTGCTGATTTTCGACGTAATGTTTTTATGCTATGAGTGCTTAGTGTATATTTAGTTAATGTTTTTCTTAGTTCATATCTTAGATCTTATTACTGTTTTTCGTATACATTTTATTGTTGGATGTAACTGGGACCCTGTGTACATTATTTTGCTCCACTACATGTACCACATGAGGTGCAAATGACAATAAAGAAACTCTGATTCTGACTTTGACTAAATTCCTCCCCTCACCTATGGTCACAAGTTCTGGGTAGTGACCGAAAGAATGATATTGCGGATACAGGCTGTTGAAATGAGTTTCCTTCGCAGGGTAGCTGGACTCTCCCTCAGGAATGGGATGAGAAGTTCAATTATCCAGGAAAGACTCAAAGTAGAACAGCTACTCCTCCAAATTGAGAGGAGCCATTTGAAGTGGTTCTGGTAAAAATGCTCCACGAGCGCCTCCCTAGGGAGGTGCTTTGGGCATGTCCGACTGGGAGGACGCTAACCCTAACCCTAGTCTCTCCAGTGTGTCCTGGGTCTTCCTCGGGGTCTCTTCCCAGTTGGGTAAAACCCAGGACACACTGGAGAGACTATGTCTCACATTTGGCCTGGGAATGCCTTGGAGTCCTCCAGAAGAGCTGGAAGATGTGGCTGTGGAAATTGCTTTCTAGGCTTCCCTACCCAAGCTGTTGCCCCCATGACCCGACTTCAGAACAAGCTGAAGATAATGGATGTATGGATGGATTTTACTTAAAAAATTAGAGAAACCCTTCTACACAGCACTGTGGAAGGAGAACAGCATTAAGTAGAAGCCCCCCACATTAAATAACTTGTTAATTAGCAAAGGTCAGAAAGCGGACTGTTCTTAGCCAGCTGCCATCTTGTTTGTTGTGCCCAGGTGACTCCTCTTTTGATGCTTTTTAATTAATTTTCAGTTTTATTTTATTTTTTCATTAATTACTCCCATTGATTTATACTGTTAAGCACTTTGGTAACAGTTGCTATTTTAAATGTGCTTTTTAAATAAACTTGACCTGGCTTGACTAAAGGGTATGAAACCAAACCATACACTCCAAAAACTACCAAAAAGTTACCAAATTGCACAGATAATGGCAGTGTTTGTTAATAATAATTCATACATAATATTTCAGTTGTTTGAATTGTGTGTACCTGTACATTATTTTGTATTTTGTGATGAACTGCTCACCTGTCCTTTGTGTATCTCACCTCTCGCCCATTGAGAAATGAATACACAATGTTATAAAAAAAACCAGATGAATTGATATATACTAAATATACATTTATTGTAAAATTATAATTCTATTTATTTTAACTCAGAAATATTATAGTAGGTTCAGAAGTTTCCTCAGGTCGTGGAACCAATGAACAATAAGAAAACCAAATTGTATAAAAAAGTACAGATGAAAGAATGATTACATCATCCATCAATGCTTTGGAAACGTTGATAAGCATGTGATACGTCATGTGAGCAGTCTACCAGGTCAAAGCTCATAAATCGTAGGTTAAGCCAATGAAACACTAGATCAGCTCTGCCCACACTGAATTCAGCATTGGTTTGAATCTGTCATCTTCACAAGTGAAGAGTTTTGGTGTAAACCAGAGTAATATTTTACTTACTATTATTTTTTTACAGGCTGGTGGACTAAACTGGTGGTTGTTTTCATTTTTATCTGATGTAAGAATATAAAAGTGTATTTATATTTGTTTTTGTTTTTAGTGAGATCACCCAGTTAATAATTTTATATCTTTATTTTACATTAATCCAAATTTTTGACATGTCAAATATTTCTTATTCTTACACTAACATCACTGCAGGATTGCAGTATCAGAGTGTCTTGGAAAGAGTGATACTTTCTTGTTTGTCTACACTTCCAGCGTGTGTGCTTCTCTTCATTAATGGCACCATGATGTTCACTCTGAGGAGTAAACCTGTGTTTCGTGACACCTGCCGTTACGTTCTTCTGTATAACCTTCTTGTTGCAGACACTGCTCAGTTGGCCATGAGCCAGGTTCTCTTCCTGCTTGCTAGCTGTAGAGTCCAACTAACATATCCTGTATGTGGTACATTCACTACACTTGCCAATCTAACAGCCAGCATTTCTCCCCTCACGTTGGTGGTGATGTCTCTGGAGAGATATGTAGCTGTGTGTTACCCTCTGAGGCACGCTTCCATCATCACCATCAGAAACACAACACTGGCTGTCATTGCAACCTGGGCTGTCAGTTCACTAAATAATGTCACTCGGTGCTTTTTTTTGTTGCAGTTTTCTGTTGAAAAATTGGGAACTTTCTTGATGAAAGACTATTGCTATGACATTAATTGGTTTCCAGACCCTCTGCGTGAAAATTTTGACAAAACCTACACTTGCTTCATGTCTATTTCAGCTGGTCTGGCAGTAATTTTCTCCTATACTGGAGTTGTACTAGCAGCCAAATCAGCTTCTACAGACAAAGTATCTGCCCTTAAAGCCCAGAAGACACTGCTATTGCATCTGGTGCAGCTGGGTCTCAGTCTGTCATCAACCATTTACTACCCATTGCTTGTAGTTTTTGCAAAAACTGTTACAAGGATAATATTTGTATGGGTCCAGGATATTTTTTATGTGCTTTTTATCATCTTACCCAGATGTCTGACTTCGCTCATTTATGGTCTCAGAGATCAGACTATCAGACCCGTTTTACTGTACTATCTATATGGTCGACTGAAACTCTCAGTTGAACCTGGTCCTGGTTGAGAAGTTAGGCCTTGGTTGACATCTTCCTAATTTAGCATGTTTGGCTGCATTGCCTAAGAATGAAGGAGACGTTGAACATTTGACATAGCATCATGTTTCAGTATTGTTTGAATCTTATCTTGTTGAATCTTGGTTTTGTTTAGTCATAAAATGTTTGTTGCAAGTTTTATTTTACAATGCAGTTTTATCTTGTAGACAGCATGTCTTAATTAATGATTAAGTTAAGTGAAAAGGTTGTTTGAAATATTTTTTCAATCACAAAAGCTCATCAGCTTTTTCATAAGATTATCCTCAAGTTTGTCCAAGAGTGAGACATTGAGCCATTTCTCCATGTTATTCACTAATTAACCTATGGACTTGACTGATTATTGCACTTATAATAATTATTCTGCATACTTGAAATTATGACATGGTTCTGTTGACGTCATTGCACCATAATCTTCAGCTCTCATTAGAATGGTTCACAGCTGGGTTGAGGATAAGCACATCTAAATGTGAGAATATTGTCCTCAGTTGAAAAAGGTTGGACTGTCCTCTTTGTGTCGAGAGTAAGGTACCACCTTTAATCAAGAAGTTTAAGTGTCTCAGGGCTTTGTACATGAATGAGGGAAGAATGAACTGTGAGCTCAACAGATGTATAGGCACAGTTTTTGAAGTATTGCGAACTCTGTGCTGGTCAGTTGTGGTGAAGAGCAAATCAAGCTACAAGGCAAATTTCTTAGTCTACTGGTTGACCTAAATTCCTACCCTCACCTATGGTCACGAACTACGGGGATTGACCAAAAGTATGAAGTTACAGTGACAAGCGGTCTAAAGTAGTTAGCTATGTACATTATCATATCTGGGCTCCCTCTTAAAGAAAAGGTACAAAATTCAGTTATCCAGGAGAGACTAAAGAACAGCTGCAGTTCCTCCACACTGAGATACACCAGTTGAGGTTGTTTGAACATCTGGTAAGTATGTCACCTAGATTCCTCCCAATGGATGTTTTCTGGGCATCTCACACTGTAATGTGAGTCGGTGGAAGACCCAGAACAAACTGGTGAGATTATGTCTCTCAGCTAGCCTGGGAATGCCTTGAAATCCTCCCAGAAGAGTTGAAAGAAGTTGTGGAAAGATATGTCTGGGCCTCCATGCTTAAATTGCTGTCCTCACGACCCGACTTCAGAAAAAGCGGATGATATTGGATGCCAAATGGACCGATAAATGAGTAGATAGAAAATGCATTACTTAATAAATATATTTATGAGTTATATAAAAATATTAATAACATTATCTGTATATTTAGAAACAAGACAAGAAAAATATAAGAAAAGAGACAAAATTTTGAAAAGGCTATTTGTTTTCAGACAACACTGTGATATGTATTTAGAGTCAGGAGCAGTGAAAGAGTGTCAGGAGAAATGGAGGTATGCTCTGGAGAGAGGAGGCAAGAAGGTCAGTCTAAGATAGTTTGAATGTGATGCAGAAATGTAGAACAGTGAAGCTGCAAACACAGGTATTGAAGATGGATAATTTCAAATACCAGGGAGCAACCATTCAGTTAATGGGCAGAACACAGGTAAGGTGAGGAAGAGAGCAGTGATGGTTGGAGTGAATGGGACCATGTGTCATTGGGGATTTCTGACTGACAGAAGAGTAAATGAAAGAGATGCAAGACAGGAGAGTATTTTTTATATTTTTTACAACTGGGCAGTGACACCTGTTGTATGGTTTGGAGACTGGCACTAACTAAAGTCAGCAGCTAAAGATGCAAACAAATAAAATGCCAGTGTATTACTATAACCAAGTGTCTGGAATAGTGTACAGGAACATTTGTACCAAGTATAAACTGGATATTCCACTTTTAATGTGAGAGACTCCACCTCGAGTATAAAAGAATGGCAGGGCTAAGTTACTGTGGGACTTCTTGATCTAGACTGACAAATTACAGATAGACTAGTTACTGACGAAAACAATGGTGATATGTGTAGAGATCCCCAGTGACAGTAACATAAAGAAAAAAGATGAGAAGCAGGAGAAATATCAAAGACTAAAAGAAGTAGAGATGTTGTAGAGAGTCATAGTCTCAATGGTGCCTATGGTCATCAGTGCGCTCTGGGCTCTGGCCCTACACTGGAAGAGTGGCCCCAACAAATCATTATAGCAACCTCAGAGATATCTGTTCAGAAAAGCACAGTCCTAGGAACAGTTAATATACTGTAAAGAGTCCTCAAGCTCACAGGCCATAAAGTAAAAATACATCTATTCACATGGAAGAAAATACATACTCAAAAGTTTTTTTTTAAATATTGTAACACAGTGGGACAGTCGTTAGCACTGTCGCTTTACAACAGAATGATGTTAGGTTCAAAACTCTAGACCTTTCTTTGCAAACATTTATTTTCCCCCGTGTGCATCCAACAGTTTCCAATAGGTACTCTGGTTTGTCCCAGGGTTCAATAACATACGAATTTGATGAAATTCTAAATTTCCCTTAAACTTGAATGTGTATGCATGGTTTAATGTCTTTGTGTTGGTTTTGTAATGGACTGATGGCTTGTCCATAGTGTACCCCACTTTTATCCCTGTAGAATATATTCACTTCTCTTATAAAAAAAAAAAATAGAACCAGGTTTTGTGTGTAAAGTGTGGGCGACTGTGGCTGAGTGGTTAGAGCAGTCGTCCTCCAGTGCTGAAGTTGAGGGTTTGATTCCACCAGCAGTCACATATCGGAGTGTCCCTGGGCAAGACACTGAACCCTTCATTGCCTCTGATTGTGGATCAGGAGTGAGCAGTCCTCAACATCAAACCTGTTGAAGAACTGGTTTAGCTTGCTGGCCTCTGATCGGTCTCCTCCCATCACTGCAGCAGACCAATGATGCTTCCCATCCCAGTCCAGACCCCCTGGTGTTGTTTTGGGCCAGTTTGCTCTCCAGCTTTCTCCTGTACTGCTCCTGACCTTCCCTGATCTTGTCCCTCACCTCAATTTGCACTCTCCTCATGTCCTCCCTGTCCCCCCTCCTAAATGCAGCCTTCTTCCTGCTGCCTTGATATCCATGGTCACCCATGGTTTATTGTTGGTAAAGCAGCAAACTGTTACTGTTTATGTGTATCACTTCACTTCCGGCGAGCTGATGGACAGCAGCTCCCTCCGGCTTCTCTGCAGTCTTTTATCATCAAACTGACCCGTTTTTCGAACCGGACTAAAGTTGGTCCTCCTTCCAACCGAATTCGGTGTTCAGTGACTCAGAGAGCCGGACGGGACCGTCCAAAAAAAAAATAATAATATTTTGGCCCTGGACCGATCGGCCGCTCCCCCCCATCGGTCACTCTGAGCGCACCCTGCCGGCCAGGTGACCCCTCGAGCTGGGGAGTCGACGCACGAAGGTCCGGTGTTTTTTTCTCTCTCTCCCTGGACCTCAACGAACTCTTATCTGGACCTTTGTGGTTCTACCTGGTTCCGACAAATATCGCCGGGTGGTATTTCGCTGGTTTTCAGCTGGTCTGGCCCTCGTGGTGTTTCCATAGGTGTGGGGGAAGTGTACCTGTGACCCTCGAATTGGACCAGAACCGAATCGAGGTGGCTGTGGGGAAATTTGTCTTCTACAGAGCCGGTCTCAGCTTCAGTGAGCAGCCCGTTACTTTTACTGAAGGACGATCCACCTCTGTGGAGTCGTTGTGTTCACCTGGAGGAGACACTCCGGTGCTTTGAAGCGCCGCCGGACCAGAGCAGAACCGCGCCGCCGGACTGGGCCGCCGGACCGGAGCAGAACCGCGCTGCTTGACTGGGCCGGACCGGAGCAAAACCGGGCCAGGGATATCTTCAGCCTCTTCGTCTCTCGTGCTTGGAGCGCCGGAGCCGAACTGGAGCAGAACCGGACCGGACCAGTTGCCGACTTCAGCCTCAGCCTCTCCGGTCAGTCTCGCTTTTCACCGGGGGTGCCCCGTGCTGTCGGGTGCTGAGAAGCGGAGGAGCAGCGTGGAGGAGCAGCGTGGAGGAGCAGGGCTGCGTGGTGCTCGAGAGAAGTTCGGAGTTTGTATCGGAGCTGCTGCAGGCCTCCATCCAAACTCACCTGGATAATAATTAATTTTATTCCGGATCACGTTGTTGGCCCCTGTTGACCTGAAACGAACTTGGACCATGCCTTTCACTTCAGGAGGATTTTCTGGCAGCTCGCTCTGCTATTTGCTGCAAATTTTCAGTTTCTGTTTCGGCCTGTTGATTCTGGACCCAGCTTCTGTTTCTCATGGGAGCATCCATCCATCCATCCATCCATCCATCTTCACAGGGGGGCCGGAGCCCCCCTCAGCCTGACTCAAACTGCAGTTGGGCCACCTCGTGGGGTTTGTTTGCCCATTTGAACTGTGATGTTTTATGGTCTGAATCTTTTCTGCATCATTCATATTACTGTCACTATTTTCAGTTCTCAGATTATCTGGAGTCACTGAATCTTGTTAATACACCTGAATCTGTCCATCACTGTAACTTTCACTGTTTTTGGGTTCTGAATGATCGCGTCTTCATTAATGTTTCTCATGGTTCGATTATGGGGCTAATTGTCACACTGTTAACTCCTGTAATTACACATCAGTCACAAAAAACTCAAGAAAATGTCTGATAATAATGTTGTTATTGCTCTCAGGAATTCAACCTAATCCTGGACCCCCCCACTAATTACAGCACACCAAATGACTTTAAAAACGCCTCTGGGCTCCATTTCCTGCATGTAAACGCTCGTAGCCTTCTGAAAAAACTTGATGCTGTGAAAATCCTGGTCAGTTCTTCTGGGGCAGATGTTATCTTTATTTCTGAATCCTGGCTCAACAAATCTGTAATGAATAATGACGTGGCAATCAATGGGTTTAACATCTACCGCTGTGATCGTCAAAAAAGGGGGGGTGGAGTCATTATTTACATTAGAGACACTCTGGTTTCAAGTCTTGTGACTTTCAAAACAATTCCAAACAAGTTTGAAGTCTTATCTGTAAACATCACCTTGAATGGAGGCCAGGTTTTAACTGTAGTCTGCTGCTACCGCCCCCCCACAGCTTCACCTGAAGCATTAAATGCCATTAAGGAATTCCTTGGTAATTTAAAATTCAAAGAGATCTTTTTGGCAGGAGATCTCAACATTGATTGGTGTAAGTCGACCCCCCTCTGTGACAAATTCAAGGAATGTTGCTTGTCTTTTAATTTAACCCAACTGATCGACTCCCCCACCAGATTAAATAAAAGCCATCCTGACAATTCCTCCATCTTAGACCTGTTTCTAACTAATATGCCTCACAAATTCCCTGGTACAGGTGTATTCGCTGATCTTTTGAGTGATCACTGTGTGACAGCGACTCTCAGAGATATTAAACTTCCACCTTCTAAGCCCAGATTAATTAAAAAAAGGGATCTGAAACATTTCTGTGAACAGTCATTCCTCTGGGATCTGTCTCACTTTGACTGGCATCGTATTCTGTTAACTGATGACGTGAACTCCGCTTGGAACTATTTTCATAATAATTTCATTTATTTCCTGAACTTACATGCTCCTTTTCGTCAGTTCAGAATAAAGGGACGAGACAGCCCCTGGTTTACTCCAGAGCTAGCTGACCTCCTGCACAGGAGAGATCATCTTTGGGCCGCAGCGAGAAAATCTGACTCAGACACTGATTGGTTGAGTTTTCAACAGATGAGGAATAAATGCACAACTGCTGTCAAAGCAGCAAAACGAAACTATTTCTTATCTCAGACTTCCAAAAATCTAAATGACCCTAACAGATTCTGGAAAACAATTAAATCTCTCTCAGGCACCCCCCAATCATCTGACCTCCCATCACAACTTCTCGTTAACTCTGCTCCTGTGTCAAATAAGCACGAGATCCTGAACTGTCTCAACAAACATTTTGTTGCTTCTGGTTCTTTATTTGACACAGTTACTAATGGAAAATCAGCCACTTCACTTAATAACCAAACTTCTACAAATCAAATCCCTCCTACAAGTCAATCCTCAGTTAATCACACCTTCTCTTTTTCTCCATTCTCAGTCAGTGAGGTCAATAAACTGTTAAAAGATCTTGA